TGTTTCTCCATTTTCCCTACAGAATCTGCATTCTCCGTTTTTAGCTTCAATCTATTAAGGAGAACGCGTCCTGTTAAAAATTCCGTGACAATCCGAAGACTGTTATTAATCACACACTTAATCAACACTTAAATCAAGAAAAATCTTGATTTTTCTCGGTCGTAAATTCTGAGAAATTTCTTTGGGCGTCTTAGATCTTTGGACGATTTCCATTCATGGTTAAGGATGGAGTCCTCAAGGTTCTTGAAGAGTAGAACGAGAAGTTCTTGGGAAGTAGAACGGTTCTGATCCAGTTAGTACAGTTTTAGCTCATTTTCTAACTAGATCGTTTGCTTTTTCATTACCTCGTTCATTATCTTCTATCCCTTGGTGGGCTAGAAGCCAGAGTAGGAGGACTCTATTTTCTTTGCCGTTTCAGCTTCTCTAGGCATTCTTTAACCAACTTCGAATTGATGGTTACTGAGTTGATCACTGGGTGCCTAGGGATATTGTTTTTTTTTTAAATAAAGAATATAGTAATAATAGCTCCCGTATATAGCGTTTGACGCCTTGGGACTAGGCAAGGTACAGCTTGCCATGCTAGAGCCGTTCGGTATACAAGGAAGGTAATGTAGCTAGCATTACGCTTCAACCGCCTATTATTACCTCAGGATTGTGAATCCTAAGTACTCATTTAAGGCTGAGTCGACCTAGGTACCTAAACTATTTTTATTTTATTAAAAATAGTCGGCTGATGAAATGCCGGCTGTGGGATTCGAACCCACCTTTGGATTGGTAAACGAGAGCTGTACCTCTACGCCGCGCCACCGGGCACCGTGGCAAAAAATAAAGAATAATAGATAGAAAAATAAAGAATAAAAAATAAAGAATAATATAAAAAATAAATACATTTTTTGAGTAAAAGGTTTACATGAATGAGAAATTCATGTAATCATCAATAGATTTGATTGACTTTGTTATAAACCCGTGTTCCGTAGATTACTTAAATACCTACAAATTTTGTAAAAAAATCAAAACTAACACACATTTTTTGAACAAAGCAAAATAATATTAACTAAACAAAAATGGAAACAGTCATTTTTACTACATCACAACAAATAAAAATATTTAGCCAAGAGTCATCGTTCAGTCAAAATTCAAGATTTCTATGGGGTGTGCCCAGCAGCAGTGGCGGATAGAGAGGGGGGCCCTTGGGTCCGCCCCCCCCCCTAAAACCTATAAATTGGATTAAAAATGGCGTCCTAAAAAGCATATTCTGCATTACTTTTTATTTGGGCCCCCCCTAAAATAAATTCCTGTATCCGCCCCTGCCCAGCAGTACCTGGGGGGAGGGCCTAGCAGCCCTGTAGTTACGCCAATGATTAATGTATAACTAATGCAAATAATAAATATTAAAATGCAGCCGTTTTAAAATATCGCCGAAGCAATAAAAACGGGAGTATATAAAAGAAGAAAATTGCAAACATACCCACAATGTAAATTTATGAAGAATTTTGTATGCAGACTAATAATCCTACACGCTTCCACATCTAAGTGGGATTCGCGCCTTTTTCAGACGCCATATTAATATTTATGAGGTGCACTATGACTACTGTGAGAACAACGGGATATAGTTATTACAAAATATACACATTATTAATATGTTTTTGCTTATAGCTCATAAAACTATAATAATAATTAGTTGCAGTCAGAGCTGCAAGCTCACAGAAAACGTATTTTTTTTTATTTAAATAATTTTAACTTAAGACATTTCATTTTAAGTAATTTCTCGAAAGCTGACTTAAGATTTAAAAATAGGTTTTTTGAAAACGATTTGTGATCCGAAATACAACAAGATTTAAGCGATTTAAGTCTTTTTAGAAGACTTAAATCAAATTATTGATTGCTCGACTTTTGGACATTTTAATCTGAGTACCTACGTATAATTAAGCAAGAAGTTCGTAAAAAATATATGGATGGACGATAATGTTACATAAACACGTTTAAAAATTTATGACGTATTTTTTTTAAGAAAACGTCCGAAATTCGGATGCATGCAAACTAAACTTAAACGTTTTGATATTTTGACGTAACCAATTTTCCTCTTTTTGTTTCCTAGCATACTACTATACTTTTTAGACCGCATATACTCCTAAGCGGCAGCCTAACATGATTTGTTCTTTTCATTATATAATTTTTCTAGCTACCACGAAAAAATCTATGGAAACAAAATTTATACTGGAGATTATTAAGGAAGGAAAGCTCTTTTAAACGAGCTGTAGTTTGTTTAAATCGGCTAACCTAAAGCAGTGTTATCCTTATTTGAATAAAAGCAAGTTTAACTTTCCCCCACCACTTTATTTTATGAGATAGAGCAAAATACTCTATATCAAAAAAATTACAAATTTCTCGGTGATTACAATAGTAATATTTAAAATACATTTTCACCTGCATATTTTTGAGAAAAACCCTGTTTTCTGATTGGGTATCAGAGAAGCGCCCCCTAGCGGACATTTTTCGAACTTAAAAATAATTTCCAGCGATTTCTCTGTATCGATTTACTTATTAGAATTGTTTTCCCAAAGTTATACGATAAGTAGTTTCCGTATACGCCGGCGTCCATTCTTAGTTGACCACCCGGTACATTTTCAAAATATTTTTTTCAATATACAGGGTGAATTTAACATATTATCCAATTATTTGACTTTTTAATAAAACATTATGTATTTCTTAAACTAATTGTTGCTTTTCCGTAGAAAAAGTTTTGTGCCATACTATTCAAAAAGGCTTTCAAATACTAAATAAACATACAGGGTGGCGCACCTCATTCGCCTCGGTTGATTATACGAAAACGGAAAGATGTAGAAACAAAATATTTTATGGGTATATGTGGGGAGTCAATGTGCACAATTTAAAATTATTTTGAAATATACAGGGTGTCTCGGAATTAAGATCCATACCAAAGTTATATTTTTTCTTATGGAACACCCGGTATTTTATTTTATTTTTGGATTCTTGGGCCCAAAAAAAGAGATTTATTATAAGGGTTAAATATGTTTAAAATCATTGGTTTTTGAGATATTTAAAGATATTTAAATATGCATGCTACAAGAGAATTGATTATCAATACCCTGTACATTACTTTTTAGAATTAATTATTGTGCTGACTTTAAAGGCAAAGAAATAAACTTTACTGAAAAATGTTATTGTTTTCTTAAATTTATACAGGGGTACCAAAAATTAGTGATCTATTTTAAGGATTTATTTTACATAAAAACTTTGTTATTTCAAATGCAACACCCTGTATTTTTTTAAACAAATCGAAGCAGATTCAAATGCTCTTTCAAACAATATTAGGGTTTCCTATACCTATCTAGCTCAGATTTTGAATAAAAAGCGATTTTTAAATAAAATGACAATCAAGATGGCTGGTATCGCCATGACAATTTTCTAGTGACAATTAGTAACTATTTTCAAAATCGACATTAGTTTATAGACTTTGTTTAAATCTATACCAGTTTACTTTTATTGAATTGACCTATAATATTTTAATAAATAATATTTATTAATATGTATTTATTATTCTATCAAGAAAAACGAAGTAGTTCTTTGTTTTATTTTACGATAACTTGTAGATATATGATTTTTTTATAAAAGAGCCGGCAAGTCACGGCAAATTCAATTTCTTCACTTCCAACGACAGGTTTCAGCCTAATAGGTTTTTTATAAACTACACTAACAATTCTGCGAAATAGGAAATAGGACAAATAGTTTTTCAAAGGAACGCCTATCAGGAAAATTCCTATTTGGATATCTTTGAGCATTAGCTCTTGAGGCCAAGAAATAATTTTCCTCACAAAATAAAATCACTAGTAACATATCCATTCGTTCCACCAGCAGATATGGGTTTATTTTTCTTCATAAAATAGAGAATACTTTCTTATTAAACTATTGTAGGTAAATTTTAGTAAACTGTTTAAATAATAATGTCCATACACTAATGTCGATTTTGAAAATAGTTACTAACTGTTACTAGAAAATTGCCATGGCGATACCAGCCATCTTGATTGCCATTTTATTTAAAAAATCGCTTTTTATTCAAAATCTGAGATAGATAGGTATAGGAAACCCTAATATAGGTTAAAAGAGCATTTGAATCTGCTTCGATTTATTAAAAAAAATACAGGGTGTTGCATTTGAAATAACAAAGTTTTTATGTAAAATAAATCCTTAAAGCAGAGCACTAATTTTTGGTACCCCTGTATAAATTTAAGGAAACAATAACATTTTTCAGTAAAGTTTATTTATTTGCCTTTAAAGTCAGCACAAGAATTAATTCTGAAAAGTAATGTACAGGGTAATGATAATCAATTCTCTTGTAGCATGCATATTTAAATATCTTTAGATATTTCAAAAACCAATGATTTTAAACATATTTAACCCTTATAATAAATGCCTTTTTTTGGGCCCAAGAATCCAAAAATGAAATAAAATATCGGGTGTTCCATAAGAAAAAATATAACTTTGGTATGGATCTTAGTTCTGAGACACCCTGTATATTTCAAAATAATTTTAAATTGTGCACATTGCCTCCCCACATATACCCATAAAATATTTTGTTTCTACATCTTTCCGTTTTCGTATAATCAACCGAGGCGAATGAGGTGTGCCACCCTGTATGTTTATTACAAAACTGATTTAGAAACGATTCTTATTACGAAACTGATTTCAACTCAACAAAAATTGAGTCCAATAATGTATTCAGAGAATTTTTTTTCAGAATCATATCTAAAATAATTCCTTTATAATCTAAACATCAAACTCCGTTTAATGTACTGCTTTATAATACCCTTATAATACCCATAAAGTACTAAAAGATCTCTGTTTTTCGAAGAACTCAGACTCGGGTATTCTAAACTCCAACGTAAATTAAAACAACAAAAAAATCACACCTTACAATACGATAAGATAGGCACAAACGCCACTTTAATCTTTTATCTTTGTCCAGTACCTCGATTCAGCTGAACTAGTACAACCTAGTAAGCTAAGCGGTACGTTCGTTTATCAGGAAAAACGGTTGGAACTCGCTAAAAATCGAATTCAGCAGTTTTTTCGCTTTTTTTGCAGTCGGCAGTTTTTACGGCGTGTTGGTGTATAATAGTGTATATTGTACCCTCTTATAAACGATAAATTTTTAAATTTATGGATAATTTGTTTGAGGTTCTCGTATTTTTACTTTAGTTAGTTTTAGTACCTGTGTAACTGTCTCTGTTTATATATACATACGTGATAATGTAGTGAAGTTAAAAGTTATGGTATTGAGTGAGAACGGAAAGTTATAATGATGAGGATGAAATTATGGACCAAATCAGAGACTATTATTGGTGTTAATGATTCGCTTTCATTCTCATCGAACGAATTGAGTATGTAAGTACCTTGATTAATATTATAACAGTTTTAGACAATTTATTTAACAAATTAGTTTAATTAAATATTTTTGGTCAGCTTGGAAATCATTTGTATGTATTATTTATGTCTAACTTTATTCGTTTAGCCCTATAGAAGGAGTCGCGACCTTAAGGATCTTTTGTGTCCCTCTTTCTTGAGTTTGAGTTTATAACCCATCGTACAGTCTATACTTCTTCATCATAGGGATCTTCCTGTTGTAGAGGGGACATGGTATTTTCCATCTTCCTCTGTATTCTTCATATTCCGAGGAGTAGACATCTACCTCCTACGGGACTATTCGGACTATGACATACACTCTTCCACGGTTGGGGTTTAGCCCTCCATGCCCTTCACAGTCGAGGCGCTTGTCTCCGGCTGAGGTACCTGTGAGGTGGAGGCTGGAGGCTGGAGGATCTGTCTCTATTTTCTTCACCTCTTTAACTTGCTCTTTCCTTAGACCAAATACCGGTATATTCCCCCGGATCTATAATAAATGATATATCTCTCTTTCTCTATTGCTTCCTTAAATTTGAGGTCAATTCCAATTGTGAGGACCTGACCAAATGGTCGTCTAGATTGTCAGGAACTGACCAAGTTTATAACTCGCCAACTCTGTGTCCTTAGATTGGAGTTCTGTCAAAGCTGGTGATACACCGCAAGGGTTAATCAGTCCACTTTTACAGAGCCCGGCATGTAGAAGTAAGGGAGAGGATAATACTATAGGTTGTCCCTTGATGCCCCAAGGTTGAAACTAATAGAAGCTAATCTCCTATCTCTATCCCCCACACTCCTTGTTCAATTCAATGTCCATGACACTACAGCCAGGGACAAGACAGTGAGATGCTCCTTAGACCCACCTAAAGTACCAGAGAGGATTCCTCCTAACATCTGACTAGAAGCTTCCCCACCAACGACAAGGTCTCGCATTTCGTAGAGGAAGTGTAGAACGTCGTAATAACAATATTTAAAAAATAATCTAATATTTCAAAAAAAATCTTAAAATTAACAAAAATAAACAGTAATAAATATCCTCCAATAGGAGAATAAAAACACAATATCCTCACAATCTTGTGTTAATTTTTGTATTTAAAATTGTTTAGAAATAGGGGGCTACATGTGGGATAAGGGTGAGGAAGAGGGGGTCGAGAAAAATCTCACTCCATCTCTACAATGGTGAGGAAAAAAAAACACAGACAATCCTTAAGAAAACACCTCACCTAATTTATGGACGCTCCTTAAGAATACATACAGGGTGTTTCAAAAAACATGTGCCATCTCTCGTGGGGAGATTCCGAGGGAGATTCCTCACGTAAAAATAAGATTTATTTTTCATATCAACATAGGTCCGATTCTGCTTTGTTTCGTAGCTACAGGGTGTTAAAGTCTTAATGGTTTTTCGATTTATTATAATTTTCTTCCAAGTACTTTTAGTGATTTGAATGAATTTTTGAGGGTAAACGTTACTATAAGTGCCACATATTTTAATGCTAAAAAAGAGTCGCCAAATCCATCAGGGACATGCATATGGGTTATCACTGCAATATTTAAAAAAAAAACATGTGCGCCACTGACTTTTTTCTTTTGATATCAAAATTGTGTAGGTCGTTTAATGCCAATTAAAAGTTATCTCTTGATATTTTGTCGAATTCGACCCAATTTTGTTAATCACAATTAATAAAATTAATAATAATTATATTTTACACAATTTAATATTAAATATTATTACTATTGGGCCAACTTACAGCAATTTGAAATAAAAAAATAATGGTATTTAAGAAAACTTTTTACTTATTTAAAACTTTCGCAAATTAATGATATTTTTTTTAAAGGTTGCTATTAATTAGACTTGGATCAAGGGAAATTAATCAAATTGTGTTTATCCCATCAAGGAGACTGAAATCGACAAAATATTAAGAGACAACTTTTAATCGGTATTAAACTTCTAACACAATTTCGTTAACAAGAGAAAAAAAATCAGTGGCCTACATGCTTTTTTAGAAAAATATTCCAATGATTTGATGAACCATATGCACGACCCTGGTGAATATGTCGACACATTTTTAGCTTTAAATATGTCGCATTTATAGTAACTTTTACCCTCAAAATTTCATTCGAAACGCTAAAGGTAGTTGAACGCTAAGAAAATTATAATAAATCGAAAAAACATTAAGACTTTAACACCCTGTAGCTACGAAACAAAGCAGAATCGGACCTATGTTGATATGAAAAATACATCTTATTTTTACTTGAAGAGTTTCCCTACGAGATAGCACGTATTTTTTAAAACAACCTGTATATTTTCTTGATTTTACTCATTTTACTAAAGCGAGTCTCCTCCTTGTTTCAGATGTGAGGAGATCGACGCTGCGATGGAGGAGGAGGGCGAGCTGCGCGGCGGCGGCCCGGACGATCCAGGCCACCTCCTGGTGCGCATCCACGTGCCGGAACTCAGCGTGCAGAAGTGCCTACAGTTCCCCAGGGACCAGCTCGTGTGGGACGTCAAACAACAATGTCTGGCCGCCTTGCCCAAGGTACGTGACAAATTTAACCGTCTTATTATTGAATAGTTGTTCAATTGAGATAAAACTGTCCGACTTCCATTGTCTTTATATTTGATTTACACAATTACGATGTTTCGGAGGATGATTATAAAGGGTGGCACCTCTCATACCACGCGGAGGCTCCAAGGAGAACGACAGTTTGTACTGAAATAAAATTTGTGGAGTATACCGGGTGTGTCCCAAAAGTGGCTCACCCTATAACTTTTTTATTTTTTCAGTTAAAAAAACGAGATTTGGTATGTTAGTATGACATAAATTAGGATTGATTGACGTATTTAATTGTTTTCGGTCGCTTCTTGTTTCACCGAAAATGACTACAACTTTTGATTTTGAAATGGCACTTTGGTTATTTTTTTACTTTATTCGATAGAACTCGGAACACTCTGAATAGAATAGCATATCATATGTCAACTTTTTCGCATATGGTTTATTCGCAATTATAACTTGCGGTTCGGAAAAATTTGACTCGAAATACCGTGTGTGGTAACAAATTATTCGTAAAAAAAATGCTTTTGAGTATCGTAAAAATATGCTAATGAGCCACCCTCGTTCCATTTGAAAAAAAAAATTTGATTAAAAATACGGTTAGAGAATTTTCTAACTGGCCAGGAGAAGCCACTAAAAACATTAGACGATCCAATCTATTTTTCCAAGGCTTCTTCATTAAGAATTAATGTTTTTAACATAGAAATGGCACTCTAGATTGAAATTTAAAATACGATTTTTTGTTAAGCGAAAATGTCAAAAGTTGACATATGATATGGCATTCTATTCAGAATGTCATTTTCTATCGAATAAAGTAAAAAAAAACACCGAGGGTGCCATTTAAAAAAAGAGTTGTAGTCATTTCCCGTGAAACAGGAAGTGACCCAAAACAATTGAATACGTCAATCAATCCTAATTTATGTCATATACTAACATACCAAATCTTGTTTGTTTATCTGAAAAATAAAAAAAGTTATAGGGGTGAGCCACTTTTGAGACGCACCCGGTACAGTACGTCTGTCCGTTCTGTAGCTACGGGGTATCCGTGAGAGGGGAAACGATATTCTCTCGATGTTTTTCGTAAAAAAATAAACGACGCGTCCCATCAATAAAAATTCGACAAATTTGCAAGTAGCCAATAAAATGAGTGGGCGGAGCGATTTGCGGTGACGTACTCGTCAAGTCGACGCATAAAATATATTGCTGTTTATTTAAATGTTTTTTGTCCGCATTCCTTTCATAGACACAGATCCAGCAGACGTACTGTATATGTAATAGGTTAATTTAGAGTATTTTTTAAAAATATAGAAAGTTCTACAGTTCTTTTTAATGGAATATCCTATATATTAATTGATTATCGGATTCTAGAAGAAAAACAAAGATGAGTTTCATTAGCGATGCAGTTGACCAAAAAGGTCAGGTTTTTGACATATTTAATGCCGGGTCCAGACCAAGCAGACAAAACAGTGACAACATAGAAACATCCATGTTTTACGACAAAGTTGTGACAAATCCAATAGATTTTAGCGACATTTTTATCTCATTTTTGTTTTGTTTCAAAATTCGGAGACTTTTCAATGTCCCGTCTCGAGTCGGTAAAGATCAAAGTGTCTATGTTTTGTTCGTATATTTCGCGACAAGTTGTCAGCACAGTGTGGATGGCGTGTACTGCCAACAGTTAGGAGACCAGTAAAATCACACATGGTTAATAAAACTCATTCGCAATAACTAAACTTTTGACTATTTTGTACTTTTGTCATTGCGGTGTGGACAATTTGTCTCAAGTTTGTCTTGTCAGGAGTCTCCATTTTTTGTGACAAGTTTGTTTTGTTTTTATCTCAAAATCGTGTTTATTTTTTGTCACCTTGGTCTGGACCCGGCATAACATTTTCTAAAAGAAAAGAACAAATTTTAAATTCCAATTTAATCTACCTAAATTGGAATTTACCCAGTATAGCCTAATATGTAGTTAAAATAACCATTATACTATAAATGAAATTAAAACTTAGCATAAAAAATATACAGGGTGAGGCAAAATTAATACTGAACATTGGTCACTTTTAAAGGCAAGTTACTCTTTTATTATAAAATATAGTAGGGAAAACCCTGTATATTATTCTGATATTCAAAGGGAAATTCATGTCTCTTTAAAATACTATTAAGGTTGTCTACCCCTCAAACAAAGATTTTCCTAGATATTTTCATTTGTGTATGATTTAGTGTCAGCAGAAATAAAAGAGTAGCTTATTTTAAAAGTTTCCAATGTTCGATGTTAATTTTCTCTTACCCTGTATAATTTGTTTGGCCAAGTTTTATTTTCATTCAAAGTGCAATGGTTATTTCAACTACATATGTATGTATATTATTAGGCTATACTTGGTAAATTCCAATTCCGGTGCTTATTAAGGTTGCTATTAATTAGACTTGGATCAAGGCAAATTAATCAAATTGTGTTTCATCAAGGAGACCAAAATCGACAAAATATATTATTAGGCTATACTTGGTAAATTCCAATTCCGGTGCTTATATTTTACTGAGCGCTTTAACAATTGTCTTTCACAGAAAACAAGAAAAAGTACGGGAAGGGTGAAAACTACCCCCACCCCTGCATAAATTTTAGTAGTAATATTTTCCTATTTTATCGACGACTGTTTTTTTTTCGTAAAATGGTGCTCTTCTCGGTGCTCTTAGTATTTACAATGTATTTACTACATTTTATTTCTCTTGTAAAAAAACTCCAATGGCATAGTTTTTGATAAAAAATGAGGGATATTTTTTTTCCTAGCAAACCTCATAGAGTTTCAATATTCCCTGGACATAGAACAACCACATATTGCCTATAACAGATGCGAAAGAACACCGAATTACGCGTTCAGGTTTCTGTGACCTTCAGAAAGAGTTCATAGACAATCCGCATCACTGTATAGTTTGGGTTATTATTTGTTTGGGTGAAAATAATCTGCACCAATATGTTATCGAGGCATACAAAAAGGTCCACAGACTTCGAGACATACGAAAAATCAAGTCCATTTAGCGTGTATCGCAATTTTCAGACCTTAAAAATTAGTTTTTTATAGCTATAGCAACTGCAGCGACTATGAAAAAAACTGTGTGATTTTCATAGAAAATAAGGGCACCTGTAATTCATTTGAGAATGTTATAAATCGTTAAAAGAGGTTTCAAATCTCTTAGATTTCTATTAATATTAAATAAATTTTATTAAAAATTGAACTAAAATTGTTAGTATCATTAAAAAACTTCAAATTCAAAAATTGTATCAGTCAAATTCCCTCATTTAAGATGAATATTAAAGTAAGTATAAATACAGCTCATTCTAAGCTCTACTTATCTTTAAGAAACATTTAAATCATTGTTGCAATTGGGCCTTAATGCCATTTCGAATGAACAATAGTATTAATAATGTACATTATAATAATAATAAATTTTATATCATAGTGTGTATTAAAACTACTAAAACACTTTTAAATTGGTATTATATTAACAACTTTTGTTTTTTAATCCAAAAAAAAGTTACCAATTTTCTCAATCAAAATATTTCTGGTCCTGAAAAGGACCTTCGTTTTCCCATGGTCGTCAAGGTAGGTAATGGGTAAAAGGTAAAAAAACAGGATAATGAAATTTAAAAAATTACAAAAATTGTTCAAAAGTGCCTCCCTCTTGCATTAAACAATAACCCAAATGATCATAAATCCCCTGCTCACATTGGATAACATAGGCATTAAATATTTTCTGCCTTAACTGCTCCAAGTTTTTAATTTCTTCATGGCCGTAAATTTTAGATTGTATGTACTCCCATAAAATCATTCACCGAGAAGTCAGGCGAAATTAAATGTCAGTCTAAACAAAACTGTAATTTTTGAAAACTTGTCAAAATTTGGACACACGCTAACTGGACTTGATTTTCCTATGTCTCGAAGTCTGTGGACTTTTCTGTATAATCTCACAGTAATTTAATAGATTGCTCGTCATATTATATCAGCTCGTAGGAGATTAGGAAAAAAAAAGATATTTATAGTTTAAAAAATAATTTATTTAACAAAATTTAATTAAAGACGTGACAAAATAGTTACATTTCTATTGGTTCTATCGGACTTTTTTCGACTGTATAAATCTTTATTTTTTGTACTAACTTTAATGCATAAAATATTTTCAATCTAATAAATAATTTAATGATGTAAATAAGAGGAAATTTCTCACATGGGTGGTCAAATTCTATAGTTTTCATTATATCAAACAGCCTCTGAATGTTTTATTCAGTGCAAAACTCATCAAAATTTAATATAAATAATTTTTCCAGCCCGTCAAAAAAAAATGAACAAATTTTTCCACTTTCATGATCAAAGGCTTTTAAATGGGTAAATAATTTCGAGTTATCCAGAGATTCGGATTCTTTTGCAAATTTTAGACAAATATCACATTGATGTATTTGAAGACCCTTTTTAATGATGTAGTCAAACATAATTAAAGGCATTTTGAGTTGAAATCTTTTCTCAGAGGCTGTTTGATATAATGAAAACTATAAAATTTGACCACCCATGTGAGAAATTTCCTCTTATTTACATCATTAAATGATTTATTAGATTGAAAATATTTGATGTATTAAAGTTTACAAATAAAGATTTATATAGTCGAAAAAAGTCCGATAGAACCAATAGAAAGGTAACTATTTTGTCACATTTTTAATTAAATTTTGTTAAATAAATTAATTTTTTATACTATAAATATCTTTTTTTTTTTCCTTATAAATAAACACATTTGCATCCCATTTTAAATAAGATATACAAATTACCAAAACTTAGAAATAACAGTTCAAAAGTTCAACAAAAATCCTACACGCGTTTTTAAAAAGAAACATATAACCACGCACTATGTCATTCCAGCAAGCGAATACGATACAGCATAGGTTTCCGGACTAAACGACTGGTGTATTTACACCACTCAATAGGCGTGTCGGGTTTGCCGAG